CACATATATATATATATATATATATATATATACACACGAGTATAAACAGACAACACAATAATTTAATGGCACATCGCATCAATTACTGAAAGTAGCGGTTAGGGAGTAAGATAGAAAGCTTTGAAGAGAACGGTCTGGTAGGGTAGGCAGCTCGACTTACAAGGCTCACTTGGCCACCCATGGAGATTGCTTCTTCCCTTTTCTTTTTTTTTTCGTACGGGTGTGTTGGAGGCAGGTTTCCATGGGGAAGTGGGGCGAAAGGTCACCCATCCGTCTACAGACCATTTCGACACATTAGCACTTCTGGAGATTATGGCTGAGATAACGACATATTTCCCATCGACAAGAGGTCGACGTTCGGGCCGAAGTAATTATCAGGATTTTGCCTGTTTATTCCTTACGCAGGATCTATCCAAAGGTTGGCGCAACACAATCTTCCTATTTTAGTTTCTTTATTTTATTTCATTTTGTACTTTACTAAGATTAGGGATTGTTTAATACTGCAGGGGTTAAGTGTTTTCCATCGGGGAAATTCGGTATTCATCGGGAAAATTCGGTAAAGTGTTTGGAATTTGAATGCAAGCATACTCGAACCACAGTCTTCATACCTGGAATTAACTGTACAAACTTATACAACATACCTGCTGAGAGCAACATACATGTGATTTTCTCAAGCGTACCTTACATGTGGTACAAGGCCGAAAATATGTGGCACACAGTGAGGATCAAACTCACTACTCCGTCGTAATTGTCAGACAAGCTTGCTAACGATTACACCAAGTCGAGGTTCCCATACTTGTATGTTTATTTACTTTCTCTTTCTCTCTCACTCACACACACACACTCACACACACACACACATACATATAGGCATACACATATGCAAAAGTAGGTATACAGTAATAAAAAACAAATCGTGTACACAAAATATTGTATTGCAAATATATTAATATAACAGTGATAAAACGTAAAATATTAACTATATACCTATTTTTGCGGCCCCTATATATATATATATATATATACACTGTAAATACAAACAAGATAAAAAAAATCCTCAAAGTACTCATAAGTATTAATATATCGCCTACTGTTTCCAATAAAAAATAATAAAACTAATTATATACTAAACTAATTTTTATACAAATGATGATTTTTGATGAGACTGAAAGTTCTTGTGAAAATAAAAGAAATTAAAAGAAAAACTACGTCGCCTTCCTTAATGAATTCAATATCAACATTAAGAAATTGATCTGAGAATTCAAAAGGAATAAAATAAAAATAGATATAATATGTCCAGGTTATTCTACCAATATGCTCGAATATATATATATTAAGATATTTTTTATGTTTATACATTCTTTTTATAGATACAAATATTTAAGTAAAAGCTCTGTTTATAATAAACAACATTTGCCGACCTGAATGTCCGAGAAATTTTCACAGAAAACATTCGTCCTCCGACAGGATTCGAACCTGTATCCTATACGGAACCGTCATTTAGCTAGACGTGCCTTTACCGATTTGGCCACGTTCGGTTAGCAAGGTCGAATTTACTGTCTTTAAACTTCAATCTTCCATGAATTTCTCACGTACATTCATATCTGCACATGGCGTATCAAATGTAAACAAATGACGTCACACATTATGAAATGGACAAAGTCCGACAATTACTTTAAGACATTTTGTTTCAGGTCGATTATGTTTGCATGAAATTAGATAGCGTTCGTTACTTCGTTTTGTACGAATTATCAACCTTTTCAAGTCAAAAACATTGTAAGTTTTTTTTTCTGTGTGGAGGGGAGGTGATAATAAGAATTTACTGATTAACCCATAGCTGGAGGAGGAAGAAGTGTATTCAAGCTTTTCCAAAATTTATTTACGCGATATTGTACATTACCCGTACATTCAAGCTTACAGCACCTGGTATTCACAAACGGTCAGCCATTTAAGTACTGGCCAGGCTCAACCTTTCTTACCTTGATGATCGTAAAGGAACCGTGATGTGGCTCGTACTATTCTCAGAATTGTGACAGCTGCTGTGTGGGATGCAATCACGAAGCGGCAAACAAAAAATGAGTGTGGGTAAGCTAAATCAAATATTAAAGTGGGGGCGGGCTAACTCAGATATTAACTTTGGGGTGTGGCTACATCAGATGTTACATTTGGCCGGTGGCAAAATCAGATATCAGTGTTTAAAGATTCCCGATAGTCTATTTTTAAACATGGCTCTCCACAATTTCCTGTCCTTTTTTTTTGCTCTTAATAACTTTTGTCATTTTTGCCATCTCTCCCAAATGCTGTGCCACCATCCATTCGCTGAAGCTCGTCAGTTATATTGTGTGCTGCTTTCCTCTGGCTTTCTTAGCTTCCGATATAATCTGTGAGTATCCGATTTTCCAAACGCTCTTTCCGCCATCATTAGGCGAAGAAATTTCAATTGTTTCTTCCTGATGTTAATCATGTCTCGTTTTTGTTAACATTGTCTCTAGAACGTGGTCGTTGCTCACAGGTTCTGTCTATGATATCCTCAAAATTCTTCTGTAGATCTACATTTCTGTTGCTTCAAGTCTCTACCTCATGTTTGAGGAGATTGTCCATTATTCACTGCCATATAGGAGGATTAATATTACGTAACAGTTTAGTACTCTTTTCTTTGTTTCTGTTGCTTCAAGTCTCTTCTTCATCTGTGAGGAGATTGTCCAGCATTCACTGCCATATAGGAGGATTGATATTACGTAACAGTTCAGTAATCTTTTCTTTGTTTCTGTTGCTTCAAGTCTCTTCTTCATCTGTGAGGAGATTGTCCAACATTCACTGCCATATAGGAGGACTGATATTACGTAATAGTTCAGTACTCTTTTCTTGGACAGTATTTTTTTTGAGTGCATGTGCTTTTTATTTTAAATATACAATCGCTTTTTGCTTTTCCCTTCTACTTATTTTCTGAAATGAGACCTAA